TTAATGGGTGTGTTGATATCCAGCCGAAGAGCAATCAACCATAACTTCAGGCGAGCAGGCTCAGAAGTTGGGAATACGTGGAAAGTCACCACTCAAGAATGAGTTCTCGCGGGAGAACGTAATCTTTTAGTTTTAAGTCGGTTTGAACAATCCGGATAAGCGCAAGTAAGTACCATTTTGATTAGCCGTCGTACCTACAATGTTTGTGCACTGTGTAAACAATGAGTGACGTATACGCACGAGAGATCACTTCCGGCGCTTGCATAAACTACGCCAGAGCGCGTACACACCTCACGCACCGGATGCCTGCGCGCGCTCAAAGCAGTTGGACATAGTGGTGTATTAGAGGTAAAAAATGATATAAATACTGTTCGGTTTCTGGCACAAACCGATCGTTTCGTGTCTTAGGACATCAATGTGTCGTCACGAGCCGCAGGGTTCAATTTGGATTTGTCTGTGCATGTTTTTTTTACTCTCATAGATTTTGTTACCATTGCCATGCATTATATGACTGATAGATTGCAACGGCTGGAGTTAAAAATCATCATGTGTGTTCTACTGAAGAAACAAAGTCACCTACATCTTGGATGCCCTGGGGGTAAGCAGATAAACATCACATTTTCATTTTTGGGTGAACTATCCCTTTAAGACGTGACTTGACAGGATAGCAAACATGTCATCAAACAGCTCCTATTTTATTATATTACATGACATTTATTATCATTAATCAAAGCATGTCACATTTAAAAACCGTATGCATCTCTAACGATGAACTGCTTTCACTGTTTGTCCATTAAAGTTTGCAAACTTACAGGCCTATTTAGATTATACAGCTTAAAGCTTTCGCATACTAACAACGATTGATAATCTAGGACAATGTACGTCAAAATAACACCTACATACAAGCGGTGACATCATAATGTCTTAAAACAAAACGTTTAAAAACAAAACAATATCCATTTCTGACCTTGCGATCTTTCTATTTACCAGACACCGACGACACACGCTCACTGACAGACGTGGTGCGTTCCAGCCAATCACAGTTAACAACAAACCAAAAACAGCCAATCAGCATCAAGCGACCCGCAGCTCTGACCCGGATGTGTAGTATATTTCAGCACGGAGGGTGAAGAGGCTTTGAATCAAAGGTTCCTTTTAATGTTTTTGAAATGTTCGGATATTAACTGTAAATAAGTTATAGTTACAGTGATATAGTATAGTTAGTATGATATAGTATAGTATAGTATAGTATAGCGATACGACACCGATTATTTTGAAGGTTTCAAAATCGCTGTCATAATAATTTCAGCAGGTGGCGACATATCCCACTGTTTTTGTTTGTGAGGCTATCTATCTATTTATCTATCTATCTATCTATCTATCTATCTATCTATCTATCTATCTATCTTCATACAAAAACAAAACTGTAATGAGAAATGATTTTTAAAACCTGCAGTGTCTCGGCCTTAATAATGCCTTTATACAAATGCATATTAATTTTGGTTAATGTCTCACCTCCAAGTTACGACACACTGAATATTCTTACTGCCTGCTCTCTCTTATCTTACACAGTTGTAGGAGATCAGATAAAATAATCAATAATAAATGTATCAGTTCCAGTTGCAACAGCACAAAGATTTCAAAGAGTTCAAATATCTTTATTAAGAGCAAGCTGATAAAATGTCAATTGAAGCCAAAGCACTCCAAGGTACATATTCAGTTTGTTCCATGTCTCATTTGTATAGATTTGAATGAGACTTACAGCAAATGTTTATAAGGGACAGATTTATATATAAAATATAATAGTAAATACAGTAACATTATCATTTTGTCATATGCATTCAGAAGGATATACTTTTATCAAAAGTGGCAATGCAGACAGTGGTTGTTAATGCCCCTCAGAATTCAGAATTATAACCCATTACACCCTCCTGTGAAATACTAACCCTACCAAATTCACCAAGACAGTGGATTTAGTCTGGTACAAATTAAAATACTGATTGAATGATCCTATTGTATTCACATAGTTTCAGGAAAGTGTAGTATGAAAAAAAAAAACACTTTGCATGAAACATGATGCCAAAATAGTGCTAAGGTCATGTGTAGAAAGATTCACATTGCATTTATTGGCAAAAAACACACAAGTTGATGTGGAGAGTGTCTAGAATATGAAGAAGGTTTTGTTGGTGGGGCGGGGACTCGTGTTTCTCCTTCTCCATTTGAGGACTTCAGCCCTGCAAAAGCTAGTGGTTCACTCCAGTTTCAGCAGCTCCACGTCAAATATAAGTGTGGCGTTGGGAGGAATGACACCAGGGTGTCCCGTGGCCCCATAAGCCATATCTGGGGTGCAGGTGATCTTCGCCCGCTGACCCAAACTCATCTGAAAGTAGATGGAAATACTATAGAGCAAGTGGAAACTGACAGAAATGTTTAAGAATACATGCAGCACAGCATCAGGCTCAAATACCTGTGCAACTCCTTCCTCCCAGCCCTTGATGACTTCCTGTCGGCCGATCTTGAATTTGAATGGCTTGTTTCTGTCTCGTGACGAGTCAAACTTCTTTCCATTCTGCAGCATCCCTGCAATTAAATAGAAAACCAGTTAAATACATAATTAGCATGACTATCATTACAACAAACAGTGCTGGGTTGTAACTGATTACTTGTAATCTGGAGTACTTGTACTGGAGTATTTGTAATTAGATTATATTATACTTTAAAATATTCGTAATCAGACTACAGTTACTTTTTATTGATTACATATTATTCACACAATAGCAACAAATTATTAATAATTTATGGATTCTCATTTTTTGAATTGTCCTTCCAGTTTTGTGGACATTCACATGAGGGTGGCTATAATTACACAGAAAATTGAGAAGCCACACAGCATCTGACAAAATAAACCATAATAAATAAAATATTTAATCTTTTTAAGTGTTTTAGTTTGATTGTTATTTTAAAATGATTTATTTTAGCTTTACATTTTTATGATTTCATTATTACTTATGCACTTTGTGTTGTTAATAAAAACGAATGGAATATATTTCTTTCTCTTTGTATTTTTATATCAATATGTTACAAGATTATCCTATTTAAATCAATGTGATAAATTAGATCAAAAGTCATCTAAAAGTAATCAAAAAATAGTCTGATTATATTACCTAAAATGTGTAATGTAATGGATTGCATTACTAACTACAATTTTTGTTATGTAATTTGGAATCAGTAACGGACTACAATTTGTAAGTACATCTTATATTTTTTATATTTTCTGAAGTAAACAGGAAACTAAGCAGAACTGTTCAAAATGCAAAAATCTAACCCTAAAATTAAGGAGAAAATGGAACAGCACAAGCACAAGCCATTAACACATCTACACACATCTAAACAGACAAGCAGCTGACGAAGAAACTGCACAATTGCAGTTTCCAGGCTTACAGGAGACAGTAATTGCAGCCCTGGACCTAGAGCTGAACAGATACCATCAGCACCACATCAAGCATCCACTTAACAGCAGATTCACACACTGCAACATGGTGAACAAAACAGACAGAACAACACTACTCTAAAACAGCAGCTGGTGAAATAGACAGTCCACATCACCCATCCGGCATATCACCATCATACAAACAGACCCAATGATGCCAGCACATCGTACTCAGTCATGAGAAAGACACATAGATGATCCACTTCATTATTACATATGTCACTTTGTAAGTAAAATATATAATACAACTAGATTTTTACATTTTCTCAAGCAGCTTTTGCACAGGCCATGATGCTACAGTGTTCTAGATGGTTGTTAAGGTGTTTCTAGAGAGTTCTGGACAATTTTTAGGATGTTGCTAGGTGGTTACTAGGGTGTTGTAAATGGGTGGCTGTTAGGGTCTTCTGGGTGGTGTTGCTGAGTTGTTCTGCATAGTTTGGGTGTTGCTAGTGTGTTCTAGGTAGTTGTTGGAGTCTTCTGGATAGTTTTTACGGCCTTCTGGGTGGTTGTTATGGTGTTACTAGGGTGTTCAGGATGTATATAGCCAGCCTAAGGTCATCTGGGCGGTTTTTAGGGTGTTGCTAGGCGGTTGCTAGAGTGTTCTGGTGGTTGTTAGGGTGTTGCTAAAGTGTTCTAGATAGGTTTTAGGGGTGTTGTGGTTGTTGGAGTGTTCTGGATAGGTTTAGGGTCTTCTGGGTGGTTGCTAAGGTGTTGCTAGGGTGTTCTGGACTGTTTTTTTCAGAAGTTATTAGGTGGTTGCTACAGTGTTCTAGATGTTTTTTTTTCTTTTGTTTTTTTGATATTCTGGATATTTTTTAGGGTCATATGGGTGGTTTTGCTGAGGTGTTCTGCACAGTTTGGGTGTTGCTAGTGTAGTTGTTGGAGTTGTTGGAGTCTTCTGGATAGTTTTTAGGGCCTTCTGGGTGGTTGTTATGGTGTTACTAGGGTGTTCAGGATGTTCATAGGTTGGGTGCTGCTAAGGTCATCTGAGCGGTTTTTAGGGTGTTGCTAGGCAGTTGCTAGAGTGTTCTGGTGGTTGTTAGGGTGTTGCTAAAGTGTTCTAGATAGGTTTTAGGGGTGTTGTGGTTGTTGGGAATGTTCTGGATAGTTTTAGGGTCTTCTGGGTGGTTGTTAGGGTGTTACTAGAGTGTTCTAGATGTTTTAGGAGTGTTGCTATAGGTGGTTGTTAGGGTGTTTCTATAGTGTTCTGTGTGGTTTCTAGGATGTTTTAAGGTGTTCTTGGTAGTTTTTAGGGTATTCTGGATTTTTTAGGGTGCTGCTAGGTTCTAGGTGGTTGTTAGGGTGTTGCTTTGGTGTTCCAGATGTTTTAGGGTGTTGCTAGGGTGTTCTGGGTGGCCCCCAAGTATGTGATACTCTGGTCTCCAGATATGGTTTAACTTTTTTTTAAAGTTGCTAGAATATTTATTTTTTAACTTTGTGGCACAGAAGAAAAAAAAACATATGTAGTATTATAGAGATCAATGCTAAATGTATTTCTGTGAATTTTAACAGCAGGTCTACTGGATGTCCTGACTAAAACAGCAGACAGCACTAGAAGATTCTTTGTTTAACTGCTTCAGGGAGTCTGCGGGGTGCCTCCAATCAGACAGGCGTGGTCCACTAACACACAGCGGACCCACCGGAGGGAGCATTTCTGTGCTTATCTAAATCTCCTGTGGAATCTGAGCTCTTGTGATCCAAATGAACAAAAAGAATGAAATATGAAACATTGGCCTAATTCGCCGGATTATTCGGCCGGTTTAAGTAGGTCACCCTTTGCCTCCGTCTATATCACATGAAGGAAAAGAGAAAGAGAGAAGAAGACACAACCAGTAACACTCTGGTCTGCCATGATTACAGTATGAGTATGTATATATAAGAATACGTCATATAGGGTGCCAAATGTAAAATAAAGCATGTTAAATGTTTGTAAGATTTAGCAACAAATGCTGTTCAGATTTGTCAATGTGCTTAAAAATTAATTTAAAATGTAAATGTCTCATATTTGATTGTTAATCAAAATTTAAATAAAATGTAATTTAACTCTCAACTAAAATATTAATAGGATTAATTTTATTTGATGGTTAAAACTAATCCGCTCAATTAGTAATATATTATCATTTACTGTGTTTTATTTTTAACCACTTTTTATATTTAATTAATCACCAAATTACCATGTTAAATGGACATAATTAATTTTAACAAAAATATAACAACAATTAAATATAAATCTAAATTCCTTTCCCTAAAAAGTACAAGCTTCCCTGTGCCTACAATTTATATTGTAAGATGAGATATTTTGTTACACAGAATTCAATATCACAAGTCTACATTTCACTTTCAACACTAAGCGTATAAATAACCATCTAACTATGCTTTAGTGAGGACAAATGTGTCTGTGCTTTGTTTAAATGAGAGTCTGACACACCATTAGAAGCATTTATTCCTTACAGTTTCGTCCATGCCGAGGGAGATATGAAAGATCCCTCATGCTGAGAGATGGTTCTCGTACAGTACAGTATTAGCTTTCACTCCCCCCTGGACATAAATGGAGCTGAGACTTCCAGGAAGGGCCCTGCGCCAAGATATCTGCAGAGTGGGCTTCATTCCAAAACCAGACAGTATATTATAATAGCAGCTTGTTCTACTACAAGGACGAACTAAAGCTTATTTATGAATGAACTAAACTGACTAAATATATCCAGTGTTGCTACAAACCTTTGGAACTTTTATCAGTCTATTTATAAATTAGATCTTTACATTTTCTAAACATAAGTAGTGCTTGCCCATGCAAAACTTTACAGGTTGCTATGAAGTTGCTAAGGTCAGTAGCTTTACAGAAAATATGTTGTTGCACCTCCGGTGAGCAAGTCAAAAATTTACTTATAGAATATCTGTTCATTACAAGTCACAGAATATCTTGCAGCTTGTACTGCCTGCTCCCTGTTTTTATGGTGTTGCTAGGGTCTTCTGGATGGTTGTTGGAGTATTCTGAATGTTTTCAGGGTGCTTCTAGTGTCTTCTGGTGATTGTTAGGCTGATCTGAATACTTTAAGGTGTTGCTATGTTGTTCTAGGTGGTTGTTAGGTTACTGCTAGATTGTTCTGGGTAGTAGTTAGGGTGTTGCTAGGGTGTTCTGGATGTCCTTAATGTGTTAGGGTGCTGCTAGTGTGTTCTGGATGTTTTTAAGGCGTTGCTAGGGTGTTCTCTATGGTTGTTAGGGTGTTCTGGATGTTAAGTGTGTAAGGGTGCTGTTAGAATGTTCTTGATGTTTTTAGGGTTGTTAGGGTGTTCTCTGTAGTTGTTCTAGATGTTCTTAGTATGTACTGCTAGGGTGTTCTGTATGTTTTATGGTACTGCTAGGGTGTTCTGGATGTTTTAAGGGTGTTGCCTGTGGTTGTTAGGGTGTTGTGGATGTTATTGGTGTTGTAGGGTGATTTTTAGGGCATTGCTAGGGTGTTCTCCATAGTTGTTAGGGTGTTGATGTTTTAGGTTGTTTCTAGGGTGTTCTGGGTGGTTGTTCTGGTGTTGCTAGGTGATTGCTAATGTCTTCTGGATGGTTGTTAGGGTGTTCTGGGTGTTTTATGGTGTTGCCAGGGTGTTCTCTGTGGGTGTTGGGGTGTTCTGGATGTTCTTAGTGTGTAAGGGTGCTGTTAGAATGTTCTTGATGTTTTTAGGGTTGTTAGGGTGTTCTCTGTAGTTGTTCTAGATGTTCTTAGTATGTACTGCTAGGGTGTTCTGTATGTTTTATGGTACTGCTAGGGTGTTCTGGATGTTTTAAGGGTGTTGCCTGTGGTTGTTAGGGTGTTGTGGATGTTATTGGTGTTGTAGGGTTATTTTTAGGGCATTACTAGGGTGTTCTCCATAGTTGTTAGGGTGTTGATGTTTTAGGTTGTTTCTAGGGTGTTCTGGTGTTGCTAGGTGATTGCTAATGTCTTCTGGATGGTTGTTAGGGTGTTGCTAGAGTGTTATGGAAGTTTTAGGGTGTTCTCTGTGGCTGTTAGGATGTTCTTAGTGTGTAAGGGTGCTGTTAGAATGCTCTTTATGTTTTTAGGGTTGTTAGGGTGTTGCTAGGTGGTTGCTAATATCC